AGACCTTAAATCAAATCCTCCTCTCCTCAGGCTTGCCTGTTTTGAGGAAAGACAATTTGACAATCCTTGAACTCGATCAAGAATTTTTTGCTTTATAAACGCTTTAATAAACCAAAGCTCGCTTATCGACAAACTTTTTGCTTCCTTATTTGTTGAGAGGATTCGAAATTTGCGTGATTTGGCTTTGTCTGTTCAATTATTTCCAACGCAGTCACTGCCAGGTTTTCAGCGACAACTATCCAGGTGTTTTATTGTTCCCATTAGGTTTTTTTGACCAGCTCAATCATTGATGAAGGGAAATAAATGTACAGATCTTCTCATTCCATGGTGAACTCATGCTGCTTTTTTCTGATTTTGAATTAGCTTTTCTTTAGGTGTGACAACTTGGCGCGTTCATTTGCTATATGGTAGGTTAGTAGCCGTACCACACATGTAACACGGGGTTCTGAGAAACAGAGATAGGAGGTGAAAGTTACGACCTTTTAATGATATATAATCGACGTTCTGTTTTATTAGTTCATGAAATTTATAAAGCTTATTAAGTTTATCCACAAGTGTCCAGTTCATCCCACACAGAAAGGTGGTTTGTATCTAACCAATTAGCCAAGTTCCATTACCGTTACCTGTGGCACCGATGATTAAGTTATTTCTCAAACAGCATAAGGTATGTGAATGCTACTACAACACCAAGTTGATGCACAGGTTTCATTCGCAGTCTCAATTAAGAGCAAAATCTGATCATTTTTTACTGTGTTTGACCGCAGAAATTTAGTTGCAGTATTCATGCCAAAATGCTACATTGAGAAATTTTCAAACCCTGCTTCGTGTGCTCTCTATCCTCGACGACTAAATGTTGACTTAGCACGATATAAGGAGAGGACGTTGGCACCTTTTTTTCAACCTTTCACCCCGAAAACGATTAATTTCAGTGCATCGCTCATGTGTGGCATGTGTTTTATTAGTTTTGGATAGTTGGTAGCACCTAGTTTGGAGCCTTGCATAGAAGCAGGGTGTTCCTGGTCCATGGTGCAACGGTTGTGGAGGTTGATTGCCCTCTTCGATCTCAATAACCCACATGTTTGCTCCATGAGTGATGATGCTCCTGGAGGTTTTGGAGGACCTCGAAGCCGTTTCTTATCTGTCGGTGAAATGTTAGTGCTAGTAACAAAGTCTCCAAAACGGCCACGTTATTTCTATATTCACACAGGAGCAAGTTTGATAGGCTCTTGGTTGTATGGATCAAGGCAGCAAATATGTGATGTTTCACTTACTTCATCCTTGAAATCGGTTCCAATTATTCTTGTTCTGCCCAAACCGTATTGCCTTATCTGCGTAATATGAAGTTGTGTTGATTACGGCGGGTGTAAAATACACACTCATTCGTTTTTAAGGGGTTCTTGCATGAGTAATTTTATGTTATTATAATGACTAATAACTGTCGCCTCTACTTCAACCTGTCATTTGGTGCCTCCAAATTATTCGTTTTACAACATTCGTCACTGTAAATATACTCACTTGACCTCCTGTGAGGTCAGGGCAGTTTTATGTAGGCCACTTTGGAAATGTGACGTCTGGCAGGAATGTAGAAATGAGATCACGGTTTAATTGCCTGGTACTTATGGTACATTCTGTAAGCTTGAAGCACTAGAATGATCAGACTTTTTCTTCTGGCAGCGATCCTAATAGGAACAGCACAAGACTGCCTAAATCCCTCACCCCCTCCCTCCATTTTGTGTCGATTTTTAAATCTTTTTGTTGGTGCATCATAATTTTGTACACTTCTTAACTTTACTCGAAAGCCAAAGAAGTATATAAGACCAAGCGGACTTGTGGAGAGAAATACCCATTTCCTTGTTGATCGAAGTGAACGAAGTTTGTGAGCCAAGTTGGCACTTTTTGGATGAAGTATTACCATCTCTGATATCGATGAGTGGAGCGGTTGGGTTTAAAGCCCTTCGAATTCAGAGGTACTCACTAGTATAAGTAAATTCAAGAGCTGGAAGACAGTCACCATAATCATCCAATTGCTATTGCTTTTACTTTTTTGCCTTTATATTTCCAACGCATTTACGCTCTCTAAGCTTTGCCGCCTCTTTCTGCAATCCTTCCTTACTGCATTGCTTTCCAATTTCGGATTGATTGGCGTCGGGTAAAGCCTTGTCGACAAGTGCTCTGTGGGAGGTAGAAGCAACCATGTACGGTTTTGTCTCTTTTATTCATTGCTGAAATAAAAGGCTCTAGAAATTATGCTATTTTCCTTTGGTGTATGTGTACTACACGTCTTTTGTACATTATGGCGACAATAGCTTGGACGTAGAGAAAGAGAAATATGCACAGCTTTGTCTTTCACTCCACTAGTGCGTTACGTCCTCTCTGGCAGTGTTCTGCGTTACTTTTGCAAGGCAGTGTCTCCTTTGTAAGGAGAAGGCCGTATAGAGTGGAGCCTTGATGACAAATGGTGAGCAGGATTTGGAACTAGAGAATTGCATCGTTTCCTTTTTTACTTGTTTATTTGTTTTTATTTGTTTGTTTATTTGTTTTCTAAGTGATAACATAGTAAATGCCACTAACAATAAATTTGCCACAGTCATTCAATGTTGGCTTCGCAATTATTGGTAGCGAATCCCACCTTGTTCAAGGATCTTTTACGAGCAAATTATTACCTGTGTAGGCATTCCGGTGCCGATTATTCCCTTGGATCTGTACAATGACAGGAACTGTAGTTCCCTACAATTGCGCAGATGTAATGACAAGTGCGCTTGTCTAGTTTATTGGGTAGCGGAGGAAGCTCGTCTGCTTTCTATCTGTTGGAACTGGTGGGGGCTTGTATAGTGCATCTGAGTGCCCCTTCAGTGTGAGCCACTCGCTACTGTGCTTTGCGCTGCTCCCGCATCTTGAGGCTCTGATATTAAGAAATGGCATTAAGGCCTGTGGCTCAAGTTTGTCTGCTTTGCAAAGCGGATCTATCTGCTATAAATTCTGCACCTCAGCTTTCCTAAACCATACCTCGATTATTCGACTTGAGCAGATGGTTGGCTTTTTACTTACACAATAGTAAATGTTCGGCAGTTAGACAAAGGCAAGAATGGGAAGCCATTCAGGAATAATTATGCATTTGTAATTTATTCGGTTTTGCTTCAATGCAACGTGTATGAGGAAAGACTCATTTTGACATCAATGACGATTTTTTTGCACTAAGGATAGAAGGAACCTGTGCATAATGTTTATGAGTAGACTAATAAGTCATAAACATGGGCTGTTAAGTATCTTAGTCAAATAAAGACCAGAAAAAGTTTGAAGCAAATACACTTGCAAGGGATGAGAGGAATTTACATTGGAAAGGCAAGGATTTGATAGCTCGGGCACAAATTGATAATAATTTAATGAGATAAAAAATCGTGAAGAATTTAGGTTTGCCGTGAATTTTCAAAGAGTATATTATTCATATATTCCTTGTCAAAAATGTCTCGAAGGCGAATATTTAGAATCGCTAACATACCCATAAATTTAATAAATTAATAAATTTGGAAGTGACTATATTGTTAGCATCATGTTAGCATGAGCCAAAAACAGACCCTCTGTTTTATTGCTCTCAGTATTTTTTGTATGTACTAACAGCGCATCAAATAAAATAGAAATGCATAAAATTATCAAATTGAGTCCAGCCTAATTCGAATGCGCGATATTTAATGAGACATATGTAGGTCGAAACAATAAATCAAACCGAATGACAAAACAAGCAATACAATGCAAACTAAAAATAATTGCTTTTTACTATTATTTCTTCCCTTCCTTGTGTGGCAATTGATGTTATCTTACGCTCAATGTCACGGTGTTAATATCATCATATACATTCTGTGTCGAATGTTAGAATAAAAGTACAATAAAACCAAATTTCTGTTTGAAAAGTTATGACCTGACTTTTACAAAATCATTTAAGAAGGAATGGGATAGTTCAACCCACCTCCTCTTTTGCTAGTTCTAATCCCTATAAGAATAATCCCTGATTGACTGACTGATTCATTGATGAAATTGAAGAGTCCCGAGACTTTTTGAAGACAAAAGAAGACAATACTCAGGCAGAATATATATTTAACACGGAGAAGGTGTCGGGTCTATTAGCATGGCCCGAAAGGCCAGCCCACCCAGAGAGGTACAAGAGGGCTAATTGAAAGTACAAAAGTGGAGCCTCATCAATACT